TATTTTAAATTTATTTGTTAATGTTTTTCTATAAGTGGTTTAAAGGAAAGACATAAAACCAGAAAACAATTTAAGAGTTTGTCAAGAAAACAAACGACATGTTCTATTTCCTTCCCGTTACTGGATAAGCTATATGCTATTTACTTTACCACTACAGTTTGACTATTTGACTTTTGAAGTTTTAACTACTGCTAGTTGGTGTATGTAAAGTTTTAATATAGAAAAGGAAAAAATAAGGAAGAAACCTCTTTAGTGGGTGTTAAATTCTTTGCAAACGACTATCCTTGGCGGCCCAAAAAAAGTACAAATATAAGCATGAATATCTTTAGCAACATTATCTTTTGGGGAGGCAACCAAGCACTAACTGGCATCATCTACAAAAATGACTTTTTAAGTGTTTACTTAGGAAACTTACTATAAACACAATAATAACAACAACAACAACGAGAAACTTGGCGTGGCTCCTCTTCTAAAGAGGCAGCCTGTACCAACATTTTCCTAATACCCCGATTTCCTTTAAAAACTTTTCTTACTGTCTTGTATTTATTAACAACTTGTTTTTCTTTATCTCTTGGGTTTTTATTCTATTTTCTCTTTAGCTGCGAGGCTGTTTAAACTCCAGCCAAATGCTTGGTTATACCAAGAAGAAGAAAAAGTTAAAATAATTCCACCAGTTTTTTTGTGCATAATAATGAAATGTAATAAAAGTTTTTCCTGTGAAATTTGTCTATTACTTTAACCATCTCGCAAGCAACAGAATAATGGCTCAATGGTTGGCTGTCTGTCCGTCTGTCTGACAGGCAAGCCTGCCAAGCTCACAATTTCTCTGTTACATAATGATGTTGTTAATGTTAATGATATTTTAGTTTTCTTCCCTTTTCCACTTAAAAACTATACTACAAACTTTGCCTAAAACTACTCACTCGTTCTCTCATGACTCTGCTCAAAAAAAAAAAAATATACAAATCTGGCAAAATTAAAACATTATTCAAGAATATTCGATAACAGTTGAGTTGAGTGCTGAAGCTGTATTCCTCACTTTTTTACAATATTTTTTTTCTACTAATAAGTCTATTAAAATTTATTAAATTTCTTATATTTTTCCCCTTTTTCTACTCCTAGCTTAGAAATACATTGTTGTTACATTTCTTTCAACTTACAGTGTAGGTGGAAGCGCGTGTTGTAAATAGTTGCGAAAAAGTGAAAAGTTTGTGTATGTAAATGTAGCTGTTGTCACATCTCTATGCAGTAAAAGCAATTATGGAAATTTATTTCCGTTAAAACACTTGACCCACTTGCCAGTGAGAAAGTCAAAAATAAAGAACAGCAAACAAAAGCAGTTCTAACGAGGGAAGATCAGGTGACGTAAAGAAATCTAATGAGGCAGTAATGTGAAAAGCTACACTATAAACTAACTATAGACTATAAAACTAGACTATAGACAAGACTATAGAATAGACTACAGACTAGACTATAGATTAGATACATAATAGACTATAGGCTACAGTATAGAACAGACTAAAGGCTAGACTATAGACTCGGACTATAGACTAGACTGTAGACTAGACTATAGACTAGACTATAGACTAGACTGTAGACTAGACTATAGACTAGACTATAGACTATAGACCAGACTATAGATTAGACTATAGACTTAAAACTATAGACTAGACTATAGACTAGATATAAAACTAGACTATAGACTAGACGATAGACTAGATTATAGACTAGACTATAGACTAGACTATAGACTAGACTATAGACTAGACTATAGACTAGACTATAGACTAGACTATAGACTAGACTATAGACTAGACTATAGACTAGACTATAGACTAGACTATAGACTAGACTATAGACTAGACTATAGACTAGACTATAGACTAGACTATAGACTAGACTATAGACTAGACTACAGACTAGACTATAGACTAGACTACAGACTAGACTATAGACTAGACTATAGACTTGACTATTGACTAGACTATAGACTAGACTATAGACTAGACTATAGACTAGACTATAGACTAGACTATAGACTAGACTATAGACTAGACTATAGACTAGACTATAGACTAGACTATAGACTAGACTATAGACTAGACTATAGACTAGACTATAGACTAGACTATAGACTAGACTATAGACTAGACTATAGACTAGACTATAGACTAGACTATAGACTAGACTATAGACTAGACTATAGACTAGACTATAGACTAGACTATAGACTAGACTATAGACTAGACTATAGACTAGACTATAGACTAGACTATAGACTAGACTATAGACTAGACTATAGACTAGACTATAGACTAGACTACAGACTAGACTACAGACTAGTCTATAGATTAGACTATAGATTAGACCATAGACTAGACTATAGTCTAGACTATAGACTAGACTATAGACTAGACTATAGACTAGACTATAGACTAGACTATAGACTAGACTATAGACTAGACTATAGACTAGACTATAGACTAGACTATAGACTAGACTATAGAATAGACTATAGAATAGACTATAGAATAGACTATAGACTAGACTATAGACTAGACTATAGACTAGAGAGATAGACTATAGACTAGACTATAGACTATAGACTAGACTATAGACTAGACTATAGACTAGACTATAGACTAGACTATAGACTAGACTATGACTAGACTATAGACTAGACTATAGACTAGACTATAGACTAGACTATAGACTAGACTATAGACTAGACTATAGACTAGACTATAGACTAGACTATAGACTAGACTATAGACTAGACTATAGACTAGACTATAGACTAGACTATAGACTAGACTATAGACTAGACTATAGACTAGACTATAGACTAGACTATAGACTAGACTATAGACTAGACTATAGACTAGACTATAGACTAGACTATAGACTAGACTATAGACTAGACTATAGACTAGACTATAGACTAGACTATAGACTAGACTATAGACTAGACTATAGACTAGACTATAGACTAGACTATAGACTAGACTATAGACTAGACTATAGACTAGACTATAGACTAGACTATAGACTAGACTATAGACTAGACTATAGACTAGACTATAGACTAGACTATAGACTAGACTATAGACTAGACTATAGACTAGACTATAGACTAGACTATAGACTAGACTATAGACTAGACTATAGACTAGACTATAGACTAGACTATAGACTAGACTAGACTATAGACTAGACTATAGACTAGACTATAGACTAGACTATAGACTAGACTATAGACTAGACTATAGACTAGACTATAGACTAGACTATAGACTAGACTATAGACTAGACTATAGACTAGACTATAGACTAGACTATAGACTAGACTATAGACTAGACTATAGACTAGACTATAGACTAGACTATAGACTAGACTATAGACTAGACTATAGACTAGACTATAGACTAGACTATAGACTAGACTATAGACTAGACTATAGACTAGACTATAGACTAGACTATAGACTAGACTATAGACTAGACTATAGACTAGACTATAGACTAGACTATAGACTAGACTATAGACTAGACTATAGACTAGACTATAGACTAGACTATAGACTAGACTATAGACTAGACTATAGACTAGACTATAGACTAGACTATAGACTAGACTATAGACTAGACTATAGACTAGACTATAGACTAGACTATAGACTAGACTATAGACTAGACTATAGACTAGACTATAGACTAGACTATAGACTAGACTATAGACTAGACTATAGACTAGACTATAGACTAGACTATAGTCTAGACTATAGACTAGACTATAGACTAGACTATAGACTAGACTATAGACTAGACTATAGACTAGACTATAGACTAGACTATAGACTAGACTATAGACTAGACTATAGACTAGACTATAGACTAGACTATAGACTAGACTATAGACTAGACTATAGACTAGACTATAGACTAGACTATAGACTAGACTATAGACTACTATAGACTAGACTATAGACTAGACTATAGACTAGACTATAGACTAGACTATAGACTAGACTATAGACTAGACTATAGACTAGACTATAGACTAGACTATAGACTAGACTATAGACTAGACTATAGACTAGACTATAGACTAGACTATAGACTAGACTATAGACTAGACTATAGACTAGACTATAGACTAGACTATAGACTAGACTATAGACTAGACTATAGACTAGACTATAACTAGACTATAGACTATACTATAAACTAGACTATAGACTAGACAATAGACTATATATAGATCTAGTCTACAGTCTAGCCTATAGCCTAGTCTATAGTCTAGTCTATAGTCTAGTCTATAGTCTTGTCTATGGTCTACTCTATAGTTTAGTCTATAGTCTAGTTTATAGTCTAGTCTATAGTCTAGTCTATAGTCTAATCTATAGTCTACTATATAGTCTAGTCCATAGTCTAGTCTATATTCTAGTCTATAGTCTAGTCTATAGTCTAGTCTATAGTCTAGTCTATAGTCTAGTCTATAGTCTAGTCTATAGTCTAGTCTATAGTCTAGTCTATAGTCTAGTCTATAGTCTAGTCTATAGTCTATTCTATAGTCTAGTCTATAGTCTAGTCTATAGTCTAGTCTATAGTCTAGTCTATAGTCTAGTCTATAGTCTAGTCTATGGTCTAGTCTATAATCTAGTCTATAATCTAGTCTAGTCTATGGTCTAGTCTATAATCTAGTCTATAATCTAGTCTAGTCTATAGTTTAGTCTATAGTCTAGTCTATAGTCTAGTCTATAGTCTAGTCTATAGTCTAGTGTATAGTCTAGTCTATAGTCTAGTCTATAGTCTAGTCTATAGTCTAGTCTATAGTCTAGTCTATAGTCTAGTCTATAGTCTAGTCTATAGTCTAGTCTATAGTCTAGTCTATAGTCTAGTCTATAGTCTAGTCTATAGTCTAGTCTATAGTCTAGTCTATAGTATAGTCTATAGTATAGTCTATAGTCTATCGTTCACCTTAGAAAAATTTCCTTATTTCCTACAAAATGAAAAAGGAAAGTAAAACATATTTAACAACTGCCTCCTCCCACAACCACCTACAACTTTCATTTCCTTAAAACTAATGAATTACTTGCATAAATATTGAGCAATAAATGAAAGTATGTCAAAGGTTTTCTTTTCTTTCTTTTTCACAACTTTTCTATGCAATTCAACACTCTTCTCAGTCTTTAGAACAAA